CTTTCTCACACTGTTCAAAGTCCAGCTGAATTCTGCTTTCATCCAGACCATCAAATATAAACACAGCTTTGATCTGATCATAAATCTTTGGGTCCAGATCTTTGAGCTCAGGATGGAAGTCACACAGAAGTCCATGAAGACTGTATTGATCATCTCTAATCAGGTTCAGCTCCCGGAACAGAAGCACAAACATGAGCTCTACATCCTGATTGGCTTTTCCTTCAGCCCAGTCCAGAATGAACTTCTGCACAGAGACAGTTTTTCCAATTCCAGCGATGCCTTTAGTCAGAACAGCTCTGAGCTCTGGCTCTTCTGGTCTGTTATCTTCTTTTCTTTCTCTGTGTCTGAGTCTGTCAGCCTCCACAGCTCTAATGATCTCTTCTTGTGTTTCTCCTTCAGGACCTTGTAGAGGTTTAAAGATATCTAAGCAGTTGATTGGAGAGTCTTGTAAGCATCTCCTGGATGTTTTCTCCATCTGTAGAACCTCATGTTCTTCACTCACTCCTTCACTCTCATATTATAGAATTGGATGTTTATGGTTAAGGGTTCACTAACACACACTGTGATCTGAGCATCCCAGAGAGGCTGAGTCTTTCAGAAGTAAAGATGTGGAGGGGTTCTCATATAGTGCAACAATTTAAGAATAACTTTCTCAACATAAAATAGCAAAGAACTTTTGCTTTTCATCATCTACAGTACATAATAACATTAAAAGATTCAGAGAATCTGGAGAAATCTCTGTATGTAAGGGACAAGGCCAAAAAACAATACTTGCTGGCCGTGATCTTTGGGCCCTCAGGCCGCACTGCATTAAAATCCTTTAAATCCTTTAAAAATATGGTTTACATGATTTGCATATCATTGCAGCACTGCTGTGTCTGATCCACTTGTACCAGCACAATGCACACTAACACACCACCACCACGTCAGTGTTACTGCAGTGCTGAGAATGATCCACCACCCAAATAGTACCTCCTCTGTGAGGGTCCATGGGGGTCCTGACCACTGAAGAACAGGGTAAAATGGGGCTAACAAAGTATCAGAGAAACAGATGGACTACAGTCTGTAACTGTAGAACTACAAAGTGCACCTATATAGTAAGTGGAGCTGATAAAATGGACAATGAGCGTAGAAACAAGGAGGTGGTCATAATGTTATGCCTGATCTGTGTCTTTATTTACATTGTGCACAGCGTCCCAACTTTTTTGGAAATGGGGTGGTGGTATAAATGAACATTTAATAATAAATAATAAGAAATATCTAGAGAACATAAAACTTAGTAGGTTCATGTGTAGAGTGTATTCTCTGGATTTTTAAAAACAATTCTGTGGGATGATACATGCATGTGTTTCATGACACCACATACACATAACACCACTGGTTAAACAGACTCCAGGTTAAGAGCAGGTCATCCACCCTTTCCTGCCTGTGATACCCTGATGTCCTGCCAAAGCCCAGACAGCACGAATACATCCCTTTGGGACCCAGTTAAATACTAGCAAGACTCAAACTCAGACAGTCCTTTATCCAGAGTCCAGCGGTGTGTCTCTGAAGAGTTTCACTCACTGTGGGTCACATCACTTTTTATAGACACTCAGCTGGACACTGGAGAAACTGCTCTTTGGGTTTCACTCCTGCTGATATTAAATATGTGAGAAACTCCAGCCTTTATAAACTGATCTACAGCCCAGAGCTCAGAAACATGTTTACAGTGATTCACTATCAGAACTGCTGTTTACTGGTAGCAGTTATTTACCCTGAGTCAGAGGATCCTCTCCCTCCACTGGGCTGTGCTGGTAACATCATGGACTGGTCACTCTTTGTAGACACACAGCTGGGTTCTCCTCCTCCTCTGCTGAATTTAGGAGGGTCCACCATGGACCGGTCACTTTTCGTAGACACACAGCTGGATTCTCCTCCTTCTCTGCTGAATTTAGGAGGGTCCACCATGGATCGGTCACTTTTCATAGGCACACAGCTGGGTTCTCCTCCTCCTCTGCTGAATTTAGGAGGGTCCACCATGGATCGGTCACTCTTCATAGGCACACAGCTGGGTTCTCCTCCTCCTCTTCTGAATTTAGGAGCGTCCACCATGGACTGGTCACTCTTAATAGACACACAGCTGGGTTCAGCTCCTCCTCTGCTGAATTTAGGAAGGTCTATCATGGACTGGTCACTCTTCAAAGACACACAGTTGGGTTCTCCTCCTCCTCTTCTGAATTTAGGAGCATCCACCATGGACTGGTCACTCTTAATAGACACACAGCCGGGTTCAGCTCCTCCTCTGCTGAATTTAGAAAGGTCTATCATGGACCGGTCACTCTTCATAGACACATAGCTGGGTTCTCCTCCTCCTCTTCTGAATTTAGGAGGGTCCACCATGGACCAGTCACTCTAAATAGACACACAGCTGGGTTCTCCTCCTCCTCCTCTGCTGAATTTAGGAGGGTCCACGATGGACTGGTCACTCTTCATAGACACACAGCTGGGTTCTGGATATCCCGCATGCTTCACTCTGAGAAAAGTTCATCCGCAATAAGATTTGAGTGCTGATTAATCATGTTCTTTACTAAGACTCATTTAGTCTGATCATAAGTCATGATTTCCTTTTTCCTTTTAATCAGATTAAGAGCTGATATAAAGTTACTCACTTTGGGTCAGACGTTCTTCCTCCACTCCTGGAGTGATGAAGCTCCATCACTGAGGTTTTACTTTTCACACACAGCTGGACACTGGAGATGCTGCTCTCTATGAAGAGTTCATCCATACACATGTATAGTTAGTCTTTGTTGAGTTTTTTTGTTAAAACAGCATGAAATATTTTTTTAACTAATGTTTTTATTAAAATAATCCAGTCCATATCTGTCACTACAGAGGCGGTTGAAGCAGACACCAGAATCTACTGGCACCATCACATCTTCTGCTGCTCCAATCTTTATTAATCATAATCAATCATTATATGATATTAATCTGCAGTCAGTGAATGCTGTGTAGAGCTCATACTGTCCATCACACAGAACTGCACACCAGTTTCTAGTCAACTGATTACAATGTTGTGGTTGATTGTGTCAAATGCAGCACATTTTTAAGAATTTTGTAGGGATGGGGTCAAGGCAGGCAAGTTGAAGATTTGCTCTGTCTTACAATCTTACAGAGTTCTGCCTCAGAGATGGTATTAAAGTTGCTCATAATTGCTGTCCTATTACAGGGCACATCATATTAGTTACTGCTCTTTCTGACTATACCTGTGCTAATAGTTATTATTTTGCTGTTATAGAACTTAGCAAATTCTTCACATTTTGAGGCAGAAGCCTAAAAATGTCAGAGGCTGGAGCTGGACTTAATAATCTGTTAATAGTTGAGACCAATACCCTGGAATTGCCACAATTCTCAGCTATAATATTTGAAAAATGGGCTCTTCCCTCCGTGTTGGTAGCATTGTTATAGGTGGAGATATGCTCTTTCAAAATGCTATGGTGAATCTCTAGTTTTTCTCCAAGCCTGTTCAGCTGTTCTACACAATCTCTTAAGCTCGTGGATAGTATTATTTATCCATTGAGATATTTTGTCGTATGGCCCCTTTTTGATTTTGACTGGTGCAACACTGTCCAATGTGTCGCTTAAATTGCTATTTAAGGCATCAACCGTTTCATTTAATGAAGACTGTGCATTACAAAAATCAACAGACTTTGCAAGTTCAGAGAATTTCCATTCAGCTGTCGCATCAAAGTACCTTTTTTGAGTTATAAATTCTTTTTTGTTACTAGCTGTACTTAATAACACATCAAACAGGAATATCAGACACTGAAACATAGTTGATGCCTATTCCATGTGTTATTACTAGGTCAAGCATTATTACCCAGATGGCTAGCTTCAGTAACGTGCTGAATTAGTCCTAGACTGTCTAAGAGATTTAGGAATTCCCTGGCCTTCGAGTCAATGCTATTGTTAATATGAATATTCATGTCTCCAATGATATGAATTACCCAGTCATAACTAGTGAGAATAATGGACATAATTTCAGAGAATTCCAGCAGAAACACTGAGGATTGCTGAGGTGGTCTGTAGAGTGTTAAAATAATCATGTCCAATTCAGGCTTAAGAACAATGGCTAGATATTCAACAGATGAAAATTAAGTAAAGTCAGTCTGAGTACAACTGAACTGATTAGAGAAGATAGCAGCTATAACAGCCCCCTTTGTCCTGTCTGACTGACTGAAGAAACTTTTAGCTGGGAGGACAAGTCTCAATGAGAGTTGCGGTGCCATTCTGAAGCCAACATCGTTCTATATTTATAAATTAATCTTAGTAACTTTTTGGCATTTTTCTTTTTCATGTACTCTAAGGTAATAAAATAGTACATGAGCTCCTTGTGAAATATGTAAAAAGATGGTGTTTTCATATACCTTAGTTTATTTATGAAAAAGTTTTCCTAACAGTAAAATAACATTCATAATAATTTTAGAATCTGTGCCTTGGAGAGGCATTCCATATATAATATCTGTCTTTGCAAACTCACTTAAACCCCAAATCTTTGGATATAAACAATAATGTAAATCATCCCAAAATGTGTTAGTTTACTTACAGGAAACAAACAAATGCTCAGTTGTTTCTGTGTCTTATTTACAGAAAGGACAAACATTTTCATCCAAATTAAACCTCTGTCTTAGAAATTCTTTAGATGAATATATTTCATATATTATCTTGAAATGAACATCCTTAGCTTTTGGGGGACAGGAAATGTAATATACATAACTCTGAGTTTACGTATATAAACTTTTGGGGGAAAAGAAGAACTGAATTTCTGAAACAAACATTTGGGTGCATTAGAACAGACTGTTTGGGTGCATTAGAACAGACGGTCTCAGAGGTGAAGAGAACGCTCTGATTGATGGAGCGACACATCACTCCATCCTCTTCAACCATTAAAAACCTTTAGCATTTCTTCCTGTGGTGGAGAACTAATCCAGTCCAAACCAGTTTAGAGTGAAAGTGAAAGTGGAGCCGCGTCTGTTCAGAGAAGAGAAGATCATAAACAGAGGAAAGCTCAGAGGGAATTACTGAAGATCAACACACAGTTCACTGAGGAGAACAAGGAGAACCACACTGATCTGAGAGGAACAGCTGCTGGGTTCTGTTTTAGGTTCTGCTGAAAGGTTCTGTTTGATAAAGTCAGATAACTGGAGCTAAGCTAAGCTAATGCTCAGGTAACCAATAAACCCAGAGACATGTTGGAGCTTTTGAAGCATCAGAGCTTCTTTCTGCGAGGAGAACCTTTAATTTATGTAAATCACCACATTCTGGTTATAAATAGTTCAGTGTGTGAGCTGCTTACAGACTTCTATTCTGGGTAAAAGATGCTAACGGCTAACAGCTAAATGCTAACAGCTGGGTGACTCGTTTGTTCATTCGTGCTGTAGTTGAACTGTGGATGACTCATTTGTGCTGTAGTTGCGCTGTGGGTGACTCATTAGTTTGTGCTGTAGTTAAGCTGTGAATGACTCATTTGGTTGTGCTGTAGTTGAACTGTGGATGACTCATTTGTTTGTTCATGCTGTGGTTGAGCTGTGGATGACTCGTTCGTTTGTTTGTGCTGTAGTTGAGCTGTGGATGACTCGTTCATTTGTTAATGCTGTAGTTGAGCTGTGGATGACTCGTTTGTTATGCTGTAGTTGAGCTGTGTTTGTTCGTGCTGTGGTTGAGCTGTGGATGACACATTTGTTCGTTCGTGCTGTAGTTGAGCTGTGGATGACTCATTTGTTTGTTCGTGTTGTAGTTGAGCTGTGGATGACTCATTTGTTTGTTCGTGCTGTGGTTGAGCTGTGGATGACTCATTTGTTTGTTCGTGCTGTAGTTGAGCTGTGGATGACTCATTTGTTTGTTCGTGCTGTGGTTGAGCTGTGGATGACTCATTTGTTTGTTCGTGCTGTAGTTGAGCTGTGGATGACTCATTTGTTTGTTCATGCTGTAGTTGAGCTGTGGATGACTCATTTGTTCGTGCTGTAGTTGAGCTGTGGATGACTCATTTGTTTGTTAATGCTGTAGTTGAGCTGTGGATGACTTGTGTGTGTTTTGTACACACACACACACACACATACACACATACACACACACAAATCTATACAACAGAGATATTAATTGAAAAAAAAAACACTACGCTAACATCACTCTTTTTCTTTGTGTTTGTTTTGTTTTTTGTATTATCACTGTTACTTATTTTTTTAACATTTATATCATTATTTCTATTATTATTGTTGTTGTTATTACTACTATTATTTATTGTGGTGTTTTTTTCAGCCACTATTTTTCTATGTGCTGTATATTACCATTAACAAAGTCTCATTGGTCCTCCATAGAGTTGGGGAGGAGGGTGGCAGGCAGGGGTAAAAGAGATAAGAAAAAAATGAGAAAGACAAATGTTAGTGTTTGGTGTGAATGTCGTAAAAACACAAAAACATCTAAAATGGGAGATTTTTGAGCTTTCTTTAGGTTTTGGCAGTCTGTGTAAAGAAAAGGGAAGTGATTGAATCACTGCAATCCAAGGATTCGGCAGATTTAGCTGTGAAGAAAGTAGGCTAGCCAGCTTACAGTTCTCCAGATAAAGGTTGTAATAACATACAAATATATTTACCAACCTGTTCACACACAACCAGAATATTCCCTGGTGTCCTTAAGAGAGTTCACCTCAATAAACTCTAAAATATTACTGTATATAGGTTATAAACTCCACAGTGTGTATTATATATATTTTCTACCTGTATGAGTTCAGTATGATTTTCTTTCATTGTTCCGTTTCAGACTGATTCAGAGATAGAGACCAGACTCACTTGAACTCAGCTAAATGAAGAATTAGTGATCCACCATGAAGATCCAGAGAGGAGGACGGTTCTACTGAGGTAGAGAGAGTTTACAGTATGAATGGTGCAGTGAAGTTTTCCTCACTTCCAGCCTCACCTGATTAAACTCAGCAGGTAGAGCAGAGTAACCTGTGCAGTTCTGTCATTCTACACAACATGGAGAGAGGAGCTTTGGTTCCACACATGGAACTCCTTTCATCTAGATAACACCAAACCTCATTAATAGGAACAGTATGAGATTTTCATGTTATGACAACCATCTCAGAAAATATCACGGTATCATGGTATAAGGTAATGGAGAGATCTGAGCCTGTATAAGCTCTGAGTAGAGTGGTCATCTGTACACGGCTGAATTACAGCCGCTCAGAGTCAAGGACCATTTACTGAGAGATCAAATTACTGTTCCACTCCAACACCGTCCACCTGAGAATGACAGCACAGTTCTGGAACAGTAGTACACATTTTATTATTATGGTGCTCAGATGAAGCTGAAATATGATTTACGTCTCCACAATGTCAACGCTTATCCAACACTCTGTTTCCATCATCATGTATATATAACATTTAGGAGTTTTGATTTGGCTTTTACATTGAAGTTTTCTAATGCCCAATCTCAGAATTCATGTACAAAGTGATAAAACCCTCTAATGTGAAGTTCTGTGTGATGAACAGTATGAGCTCTACACAGCATTCACTGACAGCACATTAGAATCACATAATGACTGATTATGATTAATAAAGAATAGAGCAGCAGAAGATGTGATGGTGTCAGTAGACTTGTGTGTCTGCTTCAACCACCTCTCTAGTAGTAGATAGTATTGAATTATTAAAAAAAAACCCTCCACTGCCCAAAACAATTAGTTACCTAGCATCCCATAATATTTTAGTTTCATATGTCATAGTTATATTCATTATCCAAGTGTTATTTCATGCTACATTAATGAACTGTTCACAGAGAGCAGCATCTCCAGTGTCCAGCTGTGTGTGGAGAGTAAAACTTAAGTGATGGAGCTTCATCACTCCAGCAGTGGAGGAAGAACCTCTGATTCAAAGTGAGTAACTTTATTTCAGCTCTTAACCTGATTAAACAGAGGAAATCGTTACTTATGATCAGAATAAATGAGTTTTAGTAAGGAACATAATTACTCAGCACGGAAATCTCATTGTGGATGAACTTTTCTCAGAGTGAAGTGTGCAGGATCTCCAGAACCCATCTGTGTGTCTATGAAGAGTGACTCGTTTATGGTGGACCATCCTGTATTCAGCAGAGGCGGAAGAGGAGGAGAACACAGCTGTGTGTCTATGAAGAGTGACCGGTCCATGGTGGACCCTCCTAAATTCAGCAGAGGAGGAGGAGAATCCAGCTGTGTGTCTATGAAGAGTGACCGGTCCATGGTGGACCCTCCTAAATTCAGCAGTGGAGGAGGAGAATCCAGCTGTGTGTCTATGAAGAGTGACCGATCCATGGTGGACCCTCCTAAATTCAGCAGAGGAGGAGGAGAATCCAGCTGTGTGTCTATGAAGAGTGACCGGTCCATGGTGGACCCTCCTAAATTCAGCAGAGGAGGAGGAGAACCCAGCTGTGTGTCTATGAAGAGTGACCGGTCCATGGTGGACCCTCCTAAATTCAGAAGTGGAGGAGGAGAATCCAGCTGTGTGTCTATGAAGAGTGACCGATCCATGGTGGACCCTCCTAAATTCAGCAGAGGAGGAGGAGAATCCAGCTGTGTGTCTACAAAGAGTGACCAGTCCATGATGTTACCAGCACAGCCCAGTGGAGGGAGAGGATCCTCTGACTCAGGGTAAATAACTGCTACCAGTAAACAGCAGTTCTGATAGTGAATCACTGTAAACATGTTTCTGAGCTCTGGGCTGTAGATCAGTTTATAAAGGCTGGAGTTTCTCACATATTTAATATCAGCAGGAGTGAAACCCAAAGAGCAGTTTCTCCAGTGTCCAGCTGAGTGTCTATAAAGAGTGATGTGACTCACAGTGAGTGAAACTCTTCAGAGACACACCGCTGGACTCTGGATAAAGGACTGTCTGAGTTTGAGTCTTGCTAGAATTTAACTGGGTCCCAAAGGGATGTATTAGTGCTTTCTGGGCTTTGGCAGGACATCAGCGTATCACAGGCAGGAAAGGGTGGATGACCTGCTCTTAACCTGGAGTCTGTTTAACCAGTGGTGTTATGTGTATGTGGTGTCATGAAACACATGCATGTATCATCACACAGAATTGTTTTTAAAAAATACTGTGAATACACTCTACACATGAACCTACTAAGTTTTATGCTCTCTAAATATTTTTTTTCAAAATGTGCAATTATAAGTGATTTGGAGATCATTTATACCACAAGAATTGATGTTTGACTGAATGCTTTACAGTTAATACTGAGCCAAGAAATAAGTAACATACAGAGAAATGTGTAAAAATAGAGGTAATAGTTCCTTAAACCAGCACTAAATACTGTTTGATCTTTCGGGTCTATAAGAAAGACCAAACAGACCTGCTTTTGATTATAAAGGAAAGTGATTGGAAGTTGATAGCTTATGTCTGCAAACATCCAGAATATGGTGTTCATATGGTAAACAATAATTCATAACAATGTTAATTTAATCAAAAGTTCCAGTTTGATGATGTTTATTGCAACAAAAACAATTTAATATTAGAGACAGGAAATCACAGTACATAATTTCAGGTGACTAAAGACATTTTTATAAGCTTTGTTTGTCATGAATTCATTGCTTTTATAGTTTGCAGTTATTAATTAATGTATTAGCTTAATTTGATTTATGCTTTATTTTTTAATATATTGTTAAATAATAAGAATAATAATAATATCACATTCGACATGCTCACAAACATTTTGCTGAGCAAACAGGTTGGTTATTTTCACCACACACTGATTTTTGTCATTAAGATGCCTGCGCAAGCACAATAGAGACCCAAACACTGCCAGGCGCCTCAGTACAGGTTAGATTCTGACTAACTGCTACTCAGCTCATAACTTAGTGAAATTTAATTATAAATAACCAATTCTTTAATATTTAAAACCAAGTTTAACCTCAATTAATGTTACATGTTTACGTTATATTACTACATTATTGCCTGTTAATATTTATAATTGTTCAGAACTGGGAATTTGAGGTAAACCAAAAAAATAACATTTTTAAATAAATAGCTCAAATCTAATGAAATATATGGTTAGAAGATTATTATGGGTATTTGTGTTAATGACGTTTGTGTTACTGTGTTTGGCCCTTATTAGGCAGCACTCCACACAAACAGCACTGCAGACAAACACTCTGGCAGATATTTACCAACCAGGTAAAATTCACAGAATTTTAGAGAAACACAAAACCAGCATGAGGAACGAGTACGAGAGCTTATTTGAGGGAATCAAAACAGAAGAGAATAAAACCCTCCTGAACAGGATTTATACACAGCTCTACATCATAGAGGGAGAGAGTGAAAGAGTGAATGAAGAACATGAGGTTCTACAGATGGAGAAAACATCCAGGAGACACTTACAAGACTCTCCAATCAACTGCTTAGATATCTTTAAACCTCTACAAGGTGCTGAAGGAGAAACACGAGAAGAGAACATTAGAGCTGAGAAGGCTGACAGACTCAGAAAAAGAAAAGATAACAGACCAAAAGAGCCAAAGCTCAGAGCTGTTCTGACTAAAGGCATCGCTGGAATTGGAAAAACTGTCTCTGTGCAGAAGTTCATTCTGGACTGGGCTGAAGGAAAAGCCAATCAGGATGTAGCGCTCATGTTTGTGCTTCCGTTCCGGGAGCTGAACCTGATTAGAGATGATCAATACAGTCTTCATGGACTTCTGTGTGACTTCCATCCTGAGCTCAAAGATCTGGACCCAGAGATTTATGATCAGATCAAAGCTGTGTTTATATTTGATGGTCTGGATGAAAGCAGAATTCAGCTGGACTTTGAACAGTGTGAGAAAGTATCTGACATCACCATGACATCATCAGTGGGTGTGTTGATGACCAACCTCATCAAAGGAGAGCTGCTTCCCTCTGCTCTGATCTGGATAACCTCCCGACCAGCAGCAGCCAATCAGATCCCTCCAAAATACATCAACCGTGTGACAGAAATTCAGGGGTTCAGTGACCCACAGAAGGAGGAGTACTTCAGGAAGAGGATCAGTGATGAAGACCAAGCCAAGAGAATCATCTCCCACATGAAGACAGCGAGGAGCCTCCACATCATGTGCCACATTCCAGTCTTCTGCTGGATCTCAGCCACTGTTCTTCAGCAAATCATGAAACAGCGTAATACAGAAATCCCTAAAACTCTGACTGAAATGTACTCACACTTCCTGATCACTCAGACAAACATGAAAAACGAGAAGTATGAGGAGAAAAATGAGAGAGACCCAGAGAACCTGCTGGAGTCCAACAGAACCATTCTTCTGAAACTGGCTGAACTGGCTTTCAAACAGCTGATAAAGGGCAATGTGATGTTCTATGAAGAGGACCTGAGAGAGAGCAGCATCGATGTCACTGAGGCCTCAGTGTATTCTGGGATTTTCACTGAGATCTTTAGGGAGGAATGTGTGCTTTACCAGAGGAAGGTCTACTGCTTTGTTCATCTGAGCTTTCAGGAGTTCCTGGCTGCTGTTTATGTGTTTCACTGCTATGAGAGCAAAAACATGGAGGACCTGCAGATATTTAAACCACAATACAGTGAGTGGTCTGAGGATGTGCCACTGGGGTTTTCCCACCCACAGTACAGAAAGTGGTCTGAGAATGTTCCTCTAGATGAGCTGCTGATTGGAACAGTGGATGAAGCTGTAAAGAGTCAGAATGGACACCTGGATCTTTTCCTCCGTTTCCTACTGGGCATCTCACTGGAGCCCAATCAGAGACTCCTACAGGGTCTACTGACACCAACACAGAGCAGCTCAGAGGAAACCAGAAAGCACATCAAGAGATTAATTAAAGGAAATGATTATCAATATCCCATCTCAACTGAGAGATCCATCATCTCCACCGAGAGATCCATCATCTCCACTGAGCGATCCATCAATCTGTTCCTCTGTCTGTTTGAAATGAAAGACCAGTCTCTCTCCAGAGAGATTCAAGAGTTTCTACACTCAGAGAAACACTCAGAGGTGAAACTCTCTCCTGGACAGTGTTCAGCACTAGCCTGCATGCTTCTGACCTCAGAGGAGGTTCTGGATGAGCTGGACCTGAAGAAATACAACACATCAGAAGAGGGTTATAGGAGACTGATTCCAGCTCTGACTGTCTGCAAAAAAGCTCGGTGAGTGTTACATCTACATTAAAACAGCAGAATAATATTTAATTATTGATTGAATAAGGCTGACGACATGTTAGTTAGACAATTAAAAATAGTTTTAGTTACTATAAAGGGCTGCAGATACACTGCTTGGCCGCTTTATTAGAAACCCATAATTTAGGAGTTAGGACTGAATGGAACAGGAAAATTGGAGTAGGAAACTAACTTCAGCTTTATATTTGTCACAATGAAACTGCTGCTGCACAATTTAGGGTGGAAAGGGAAAAGTAGAAAAAAAAGCTTGCAAATAGGACGCAGACTTCAGCTTCATATTTGCCAAGTGTAACTGCAGCACCATTCAAGGTGGAACAGGGGAATTCAAATAGAAAGCTGACTTCAGTATGATTTGTAACTGCTGCAATGCTAAGTATGGCTCTAGTTTTATAGCGTTATAGTGTTAGGGGAGGGGTCACGCTAAGTATGGTTCCCCTCTGGTCACACTAAGTGTGGCTCTAGTTTTATAGCGTTATAGTGTCAGGGGAGGGGTCACGCTAAGTATGGCTCTAGATTTTGCAGCGTTATAGTGTTAGGGGAGGGGTCACGCTAAGTGTGGCTCTAGTTTTATAGCGTTATAGTGTTAGGGGAGGGGTCACGCTAAGTGTGGCTCTAGTTTTATAGCGTTATAGTGTTAGGGAAGGGGTCACGCTAAGTGTGGCTCTAGTTTTATAGCGTTATAGTGTTAGGGGAGGGGTCACGCTAAGTATGGCTCTAGATTTTGTAGCGTTATAGTGTTAGGGGAGGGGTCACGCTAAGTGTGGCTCTAGTTTTATAGCGTTATAGTGTTAGGGAAGGAGTCACGCTAAGTGTGGCTCTAGTTTTATAGCGTTATAGTGTTAGGGAAGGGGTCACGCTAAGTGTGGCTCTAGTTTTATAGCGTTATAGTGTCAGGGGAGGGGTCACGCTAAGTATGGCTCTAGATTTTGTAGCGTTATAGTGTTAGGGGAGGAGTCACGCTAAGTGTGGCTCTAGTTTTATAGCGTTATAGTGTTAGGGGAGGAGTCACGCTAAGTGTGGCTCTAGTTTTATAGCGTTATAGTAGTAGGGAAGGGGTCACGCTAAGTGTGGCTCTAGTTTTATAGCGTTATAGTGTCAGGGGAGGGGTCACGCTAAGTATGGCTCTAGATTTTGTAGCGTTATAGTGTTAGAGGAGGAGTCACGCTAAGTGTGGCTCTAGTTTTATAGCATTATAGTGTTAGGGGAGGGGTCACGCTAAGTGTGGCTCTAGTTTTATAGCGTTATAGTGTTAGGGGAGGGGTCACGCTAAGTGTGGCTCTAGTTTTATAGCGTTATAGTGTTAGGGGAGGGGTCACGCTAAGTGTGGCTCTAGTTTTATAGCGTTATAGTGTTAGGGGAGGGGTCACGCTAAGTATGGTTCCCCTCTGGTCACGCTAAGTGTGGCTCTAGTTTTATAGCGTTATAGTGTTAGGGAAGGGGTCACGCTAAGTGTGGCTCTAGTTTTATAGCGTTATAGTGTCAGGGGAGGGGTCACGCTAAGTATGGCTCTAGATTTTGTAGCGTTATAGTGTTAGGGGAGGGGTCACGCTAAGTGTGGCTCTAGTTTTATAGCGTTATAGTGTTAGGGAAGGGGTCACGCTAAGTGTGGCTCTAGTTTTATAGCGTTATAGTGTTAGGGGAGGGGTCACGCTAAGTATGGCTCTAGATTTTGTAGCGTTATAGTGTTAGGGGAGGAGTCACGCTAAGTGTGGCTCTAGTTTTATAGCGTTATAGTGTCAGCGGAGGGGTCACGCTAAGTATGGCTCTAGATTTTGTAGCGTTATAGTGTTAGGGGAGGAGTCACGCTAAGTGTGGCTCTAGTTTCATAGCGTTATAGTGTAAGGGAAGGGGTCACGCTAAGTGTGGCTCTAGTTTCATAGCGTTATAGTGTTAGGGGAGGGGTCACGCTAAGTGTGGCTCTAGTTTTATAGCGTTATAGTGTTAGGGGAGGGGTCACGCTAAGTGTGGCTCTAGTTTTATAGCGTTATAGTGTTAGGGAAGGGGTCACGCTAAGTGTGGCTCTAGTTTCATAGCGTTATAGTGTTAGGGGAGGGGTCACGCTAAGTGTGGCTCTAGTTTCATAGCGTTATAGTGTTAGGGGAGGGGTCACGCTAAGTGTGGCTCTAGTTTCATAGCGTTATAGTGTTAGGGGAGGGGTCACGCTAAGTGTGGCTCTAGTTTCATAGCGTTATAGTGTTAGGGGAGGGGTCACGCTAAGTGTGGCTCTAGTTTCATAGCGTTATAGTGTTAGGGGAGGGGTCACGCTAAGTGTGGCTCTAGTTTTATAGCGTTATAGTGTTAGGGGAGGGGTCACGCTAAGTGTGGCTCTAGTTTTATAGCGTTATAGTGTTAGGGGAGGGGTCACGCTAAGTGTGGCTCTAGTTTCATAGCGTTATAGTGTTAGGGGAGGGGTCACGCTAAGTGTGGCTCTAGTTTTATAGCGTTATAGTGTTAGGGAAGGGGTCACGCTAAGTGTGGCTCTAGTTTTATAGCGTTATAGTGTTAGGGGAGGGGTCACGCTAAGTGTGCCTCTAGTTTTATAGCGTTATAGTGTTAGGGGAGGGGTCACGCTAAGTGTGGCTCTAGTTTTATAGCGTTATAGTGTTAGGGGAGGGGTCACGCTAAGTGTGGCTCTAGTTTTATAGCGTTATAGTGTTAGGGGAGGGGTCACGCTAAGTATGGCTCTAGTTTTATAGCATTATAGTGTTAGGAGAGGGGTCACGCTAAGTATGGCTCTAGTTTTATAGCGTTATAGTGTTAGGGGAGGGGTCATTTTAAGAATGGCTCTAGTTTTTATGAGATGAGTAAGGCAACTATCGAGGTAAATAAAAATAGGGTGCATGAAAACTGATATTAAATGAATGAAATGAGATGTACAGCTTGCAGTATTATCGCCATTGCAAAGAGATTCAATTCAAGTCATATTTTCCTGTGTTTTCTGCTCCTAACCTCAAAAAAGATACTTTAACTTGAACTATGAGCTCACAAATTAGCTAACGATGTCACTGCCCTGTCTGCCGCTGCTCCGCTCAGCTGCGTAGGTCAGCTTAAGATTCAGTTTAACTAGTAACTTTAGCCTGCTTTTGCCTGTTTCATTTTAATTAAGAGCTGTTTTGGGTTCAGCTGTAAGTTAGCTTTGTCTCCCTCACTGTTCACCAGCTTCGATAAGCTAATCCATGATTTCCTGACAGGTTTTTTACTTGCAATCAGTATTTTCTCCTCAGACAGTAGTTTGACAACAACGTCAAAGGAAGAACATGAGAAGGAGCTTCCAATGAAATTTCTCACTGAATGTATTATTATTGTGGCATTGAGGGTTCTCAGGATAAACTTAGACGACTTTACTGAAGACCAAATCAAAAGAACAGGTGCACACTCACTTTTGACTCCCAATGACCAAACTGTTAGCTTGTTAAGCTAAAAACACAGCCTCCCTTAGCTAGAAACTAAAAAAACACCCAGCTTTCCTCCCCCTAACCCCCCATATTAATGCAAATCAAAAGTCCTTGTCTAAACGAATCTAAAACACCCCAGCATGAACATTTTTTAAAATTGAACTACATACATACATTGATGTCACAATATAAATTAAAACAAACATTAAAGTACTTAAATATTAATTATCAATTAAAAATTAATATTAAATTCTTTAAGTTTTTTTAAAGAAAAAAAAATTGTTATTTCGTTATTTTTAGTTGGACAAATCATTACAGTATCAAGTCAAAATTTATTTATATAGTGCTTTTTACAACAGGCATTGTCACAAAAAGCAGCTTTGCAGAAAAATCTGGGTCCAAGCCTCCATGAGCATCATCAATAGTCACAGTGGCATGGAAAAACTCCCTAAGAGCAAGAGGAAGAAACCTTTAGATGAACCAACACTCAAAAGGGGAACCCATCCTCCTCTGGTCCAGACTAGATAGCATACAATAACACAAGAACAACATGAATAGAAATAAAGTTTTACTGTTAATATAAAATATTAAAATATAGAAAAGGGGAAAAACAGGTGAAGCAATGCCTATGATTAAATATTTCAAGTCTGTGCAGCATCATCAGGAGTGTCAGTTCATGCAGGTGAGGTTTGCACAGCATTGTACAGCAGGAAGCTCCATGGTGTCAAGATGGTCCAGAAGGTGGGTGAGCAGTGGGCACCCGATCAAGGCAGATGACGCAACAGCATCAGACTGCAGAGGATGGGCAGCTGTTCAACTCAGCAAAGAAACACACAGGCAGTTAGCTCTGTAAAGAGTGACCGGTTACAGTATACAGTGTAACAGTGAGCAGCAGAAACTCTGGCAGGTTGAGCTATTACAGCCTCACTAAAAGGGAGAAACCAGAAAGGTAACAGAGTCATGAGGCTCCCTGAGATGTAAGTAAGTAAGAAAGTAAAGTTTATTTATATAGCGCTTTTTACAACAGGTGTTGTCACAAAGCAGCTTTACAAGGAAATCAGCATTACAGAAAGAAATCCGGGTCCAAGCCCCCATGAGCGTCGCCAGTGGCGACAGTGGCAAGGAAAAACTCCCTAAGAGAAACAGGAAGAAACCTTGAGAGGAACCAAGACTCAGAAGGGGAACCCATCCTCCTCTGGTCGACACCGGATAGTAAACATTTTTAGTACAAAAACAGGGAAAACAGGTGGAGCAATGATTAATTTGATTAGTTTAGATCATGCAGCAGCAGTGGCAGCAGCATCAACATCAGTGGGGTCAGGTTGTGAGGGTGAGGTTTGCACGGCATTGTACAACAAGAAGCTCGATGGTGGCCAAGCCGGTCCAGAGGGCTGGCGAGCAGTGGCACCCGATCAAGGCAGAGAGGCAGCAGCATCAGACGCACAGGATGGGCAGCTGTTCAACTCAGCAAAGGAAAGAAAGAAAGGAAAGGAAAAACACAGAGAGTCAGTTCTGTAATGGGTGACTGATCACAGATTACAGTGTTAGCAGAGCAGTAGAGACTCTGGCAGGTAT